GGACCCAAGACCAGGAATGGTGCAGGGCCCAAACCAGGAGCAGAGAACATCGTGGCGGGGAAGATGGAAGGGCTAATGAGGCTGGGGGAGTCAAGGCACGGAGGGCTCCACGATAGACCCACCCCAAGAGGCCTAAGGATAGGAGAGCAGGCCAGGAGAGTTAGCCGGTGGTGCAGGTCCAGGGAAGCAGAGAGAGGTGAGGGCGGGCCGGGTCCAGAGGCAGTGCTCCTGGGGCCCAAGGAAGGCACCAAGCCAGTCCGGGTGAAAAGGATCAGGAAGCAGCACTGGCTCCCCAGGTGTCTGGGGCCCCAAGACTAGGAATGGCACAGGGCCCAAGCTAGGAGTAGAGAACAGTGGGGGAGATGGAAGGGTGAACGCGGCTGGGGGAGTCAAGGTGCGGAGGGCTGCGCGATATGGAGACTTACCCCAAAAGAGGCGTTGTTAATTATAATTTTAATAAAAATAGGGCTGGAGAGATAGCTCAGCGGTTAAGAGCACTGGCTGCTCTTGCAAAGGACCTGGGTTCAAGTCTCAGCACCCACATGGTGGCTAACAACCATCTGTAACTCCAGTTCCAGGGATTCTGATGCCCACTCTGGCCTTTGGAAGCATTGCACACACAAGTACACTTAAATACTTGTAGGCAAATCACTCATACACACAAAATATTTTTAAAAAAGAAGTTTAATTTGTAGAAAGTAATCTCTGGGAATTAAAGCTATGCATAGAATATAATGTTTTATGTAGGAGTCCTCTTAAAATTTTATATCCCAGAAGAATCAATGAAAACGATTTATACCAAACCTCTGGTATAGTATATACTAAAATCCTTTTGGATAGAAACCATTTCCTAAATTATCAGCCAAAGAAAAAAATTAAAAATGCTCCAAGTTTAAGTAGAAGGTTTTTGAGACATTGTCATTATTCAGTAAGCACTGTAATAATTTATGAATCATTAAAACAAAATCTGATGTTATGGCTCCATAGCTGGTCAGTCATGAATTTTGTTGGCACTGGGTCTTACTGTGGAATCGCGTTCATTTCCATTCTGTTACTCATTTCCTTCCATAAACATATCTCAAATCTAGTTCACATGCATAATGTCATTTAGCACCTGTGGAGGTTATGTGAGGTAACTAGTGAAAACTTTATCTTCCATACCTGACCTACAACAAAACTCGAGATGGAAGAAACTAAATCATTCTCAGAAACAGACATATTCAGTGAGTCCCGACACAGCTCAAATGCAAACCCAATGGAGCAGGTGTCTAAGTTTCACCTGTGCCAGGTGCTTCCTCCTTCAGTCCTATCAACAAGGGAACTCCACACAGGAGAGATAAGGAAGCTTCTGGAAAAGCGGTTCGTGTATAGGAAAAGAATACTGGGTAAATTTGAGGTTAGAAGCACAGGCCTCCTGTGATAATAAGACCAGCATGCTGCCTTTCACTCACCTTCTGGGGAGGCCTTGTGATTTGCAGAAAGGCCTAGAGGGGGACCTATACGGGAGGTAGATCAGGCAGTGATGTGAGGGATATGTGAAGGTTTCTACTCTTCCTCAAACATAGGTTGGCTAAAGGATGTATTTTTTTCTGGTATTAAAGTTTTGGCCATAATAATGTAAACTCCACAGACTCAGCTCTACCATGTAAGTGCTGAGCCTAACCCATGTGGAATATCAGACTGTGCTGCAGGGTGAAGAAAATGAGAAACAGTTTGCAAAGAGCACGATCCATGCTTGACTCTCAATTCTGTAAATTACTGACTGTGCAACATAGGACAAGTTACCAAACCATTCCAAAAATAATATCCTGGTATCTATGAACTGGGGTAAATAATGCCTACTTCATGTATTGGAGAAAGAGACAGTGACATTTGTAACACACTTAGTAGAGTTTTCACTGTAACTCATGCATCTATCTTTGGCTTTCAGCCCTTTGAAAGCTATGACTAATGCTGAAAGAATGTATCTAAAGAGACCATAACACAATAATGTGTTTGTTAACAAATGAACACTCAAATATTGAAACAATAGATCTCTCATACTCAGGGTTTTCTGGTTTATTGCACAACACACATACACACATACACACAAGTGCAAGCACACACACACACACAAGCATACACACATACACACACACACACAAGTTTTTATCAGAAACACTCTGATGAGCTTCAAGACAATTCTTTGCAATGTGTTTATACTAGTTACCTTCTATACACATTTAATTTTTGGAGTCTAACATTTTTTTAGCATTTAAAAATCATTTATTTTTATTTTATGTGTGTGAGTATTTTGCTTACATGTATGTAAGTGGACCCATGTGTGCAGTGCTCACAGAGGTCAGAAGAGGGTGTCAGATCCCTTGGAACTGGAGTTATAGTCTTTTGTTAGCTGCCACGTGGGTGCTAGAAACCAAACTCGGGTCCTTTGAAAATGCTCTTAACCGGTGAGCCACATCTCTAGTCCCAAAATAAGTTTTTAGACAGGTTCTCAGTATACAACTCTGGCTTGCCTGCTACTCACTATATAACCCTTGCTGGCTTGGAATTCACAGAGATCTACCTGCCTCTGCCCCCAAGTGCTTGAACCACCATGGCCAGATTTCTTGAGCATTTTTGAAATGACATCAGAATAAATGCCATGCCTTGATTTTTTTTTTCTCTTAATGGGCCTCAAGTGAAAATGTCTGAACTCAAATTTATAGTTTGTACTTTTTGTGAGAGAAACTACCCTATATTTTTCTGTTCTCTTTCTTTCTAAATATTTTAGCCATGACACAAGAGAATATAAAAATCGTTCTAAATAGATTCAGAAATATTGGTTATGTGAAAATAATGCCCTTTTTCGTTCTATCTCTAGGGTGATAATAATACAATAATTACACAGTGCTTCATAGTTATGATAAGAGCCAAAATCTATTTATGATTTTTCTCTTGTAGGGATTCTAGAATAACACAAAAAAAATCCCTTTGGGACTGAAGACATGGCTCAGTGGTTAAGAGCACTGATGCTCTTTCAGAGGACCCAGTTTCAGTTCCCAGCACCCATAAAAGTCAACTTACTGTGGAGAAAAGATAATGGTCAGAGGTAGGATGTTTTGCCCAGATGAACTGAAAGGGTAGAGCAGTCGTTTGTTGGCTCCCTGAGAAGCAATGCTTGAGGAGACAGGGTGGAAGGAAAAGGCTTCCCTTTGCCTCTTTACCTCATGGGGAGACAGTGATAGGGGGATAATGGCATATAAGAGAATCAACTAAGATGATTGGAAAGAGCTATGGACAGCAGGTTGTAGGGAACCAGGATGGCATGCTTTAGGGCAAGATGGATCTGAAACTTTAAGATCAGGCTACAGTCTCTGCTGAAGGGCAGGGCACTGAATACAGCACGCTCATACCCCTGTCTTGCAGAACACTGCTGTGACTAGTAGGAGAAAAGTGGTTGGGTCAAAAGCTTCTTGCTCTGAGGGAAAGCATCTTGGTCAACAGCCCTTAGCCCACCTGTTGTTCTGAACAAATAATTCTCAACTCTCACTAGCAAAAAGAATAGGCCAGGTTAAAAGTTTACTCCTGGGCTAAAAGTTAAAAGTTTGCTATGCTCTTTGTCCTAAGAAAGAAAACATTGTGGCCAAAAAATTACCAGATAGGCACTGGTAACCCTGAGTAAAAGTTCAAGCATCCTGCTTTAAAAACAGCCCCTAGCTGGCACCAGGTAAAAGCTCTATGTCCTGCTTCTCCTCTAATTATGCCCTAAACCTCTACATGTAACCACCAAAACCCACCTGACTGCCAGTTCCTTGTATTGTATAAAAACTTACTGAATTTTTCAGTAAAGTTGGCTTACTGCAAAGAGACTGAAGTCCCAGGGCCAGGCCCTGAGCCTCCGACCTCATGTCCCAGAGCAAGGCCCCCTCTAGGGTGACCCCCACAGCAGGTAATAATGCAGCGTCATGTGTCATATACTTGAATGTCGCCTAATGCTCAGGGGTAAAAAAGAAGCGAACATTCTGGAAACTTACTGTGTCAAAGAAGTCACTTTATCATACTGTGCTGATTCTTTAGGTCCTAATATTCTGTCAAAATAAACCAACCATTCTTTCCTATTCTGAGTCCATGGGTCTCCTGGGGCAGGGGTGAATTGGAATTTTGTTGAGATTTCTAGAATTCTGTATGTCAGACCTGTATCTTTTGTCTAGTCATCTATAGCATTTTAAAAATATCATTTTTTCCTGTGCAAT